TCTGATGTGGGGGAAGAAAAGAAATCGAGCTCGGGAGGAATTACAGAGCGAGCCAGAACATACCACGGGGACTCATTTCCAAACTGCGTAATGAAAGAACCGAAAAAATGTGTCAAGCTGTAATGTAAGATGTCATGAAAGGTGTGGAGACGTTCAAAGCCGTTTTTATGAGAGCTTATTATCTTCTAAGGGTTCCGGCATCAAAAGTGTCATTTGGCCGTGTTTAGTTCAATAGATAATAAAACACATGCTGTTAAGTGACGTCATCAGAAAATGTTTCTAAAGAGAATAAAATTGGGGTCAGATGCAAAAATAAACCTTTTCATTTCGACGTACGGCCTTTGATAGAAGCCCATCATGGAACCTATTAAAAAAAAGTCATGCTTTATTATTAGAAAATCAATTATTTGGACTTTTTAGGGCAAAAAAGCTGAACTTTTGACACACAAGATATGATAGACCTTAAAGGGATAGTTCACCCAAAAATGAAAATGTGATGTTTATCTGCTTACCCCCAGGGCATCCAAGATGCAGGTGACTTTGTTTCTTCAGTAGAACACAAATGATGATTTTTAACTCCAACCGTTGCAGTCTATCAGTCGTATAATGCATGGCAATGGTAACAAAATCTATGAGCGTAAAAAAAACTTGCACAGACAAATCTAAATTAAGCCCTGCGGCTCGTTACGACACATTGATGTCCTAAGACACGAAATGATCAGTTTGTGCGAGAAACCGAAGAGTATTTATATAATTTTTTTACCTCTAATACACCACTATGTCCGGCATCCGGTGCGTGAGGTGTGTACGCACTCTGGCGTAGTTTACTCAAGCGCCGGAAGTGATCTCTCGCGCGTATACGTCACTCATTGTTTACACAGTGCACAAACATTGTAGGTACGACGGCTAATCAAAATGGTACTTACTTGCGCTTATCCGGATTGTTCAAACAGACTTAAAACTAAAAGGTTACGTTTTTTACGATTAGTAAAAAATTATATAAATACCATTCGGTTTCTCGCACAAATCGATCATTTCGTGTCTTAGGACATCAATGTGTCGTCACGAGCCGCAGGGTTTAATTCGGATTTGTCTGTGCATGTTTTTTTTTTTACTCTCATAGATTTTGTTACCATTGCCATGCATTATACTGCTGATAGACTGCAACGGTTGGAGTTAAAAATCATCATTTGTGTTCTACTGAAGAAACAAAGTCACCTATATCTTGGATGCCCTGGGGGTAAGCAGATAAACATCAAATTTTCATTTTTGGGTGAACTATCCCTTTAATATGAAGAAAGCCGGAGTGTTCCCGTGAGCCGTCGGGTTTTATTTCACATCTAGCAGGTATTGAGCGTTCTGTCGGCTACTTTTCATTCGGAAGTGCATAACCAAAAGTGTTGGGCAGGAAAATAGCATCCATATGAGTGTGGATTTGCTTCCCTCACAGAAGAGTTACAAACAAAAAGGGCTTCCTGTCAGCTCTTGAAGTGCTCGCTTCTCTTTTGTGTCTGGGGCTTGAGGTGAATTAACCATGACTTTGTCTGGGATGATTTTGGATGTGTGGCGTCAGTAGAGCCGGCTGTCCTGGACTGACTCACATAAAGCACAATGAAAGCAGCGTGGAGAGGAGAGTGAGGCGGTGCATAATACGACTCGAGCTGTGAAGCCGCTGGTCACTGCTTTTGAGTGGAAAGTGATATCCATCTGTTGTCATCTGCTGTGTTGGCTGTCAAAAGAAACTGATCAAATCACTACAGACCTTAAAGCAGAAAAGACGTCCTTAATAGAGACACTTTCTCTCTCTCCTTCACACACACACACACACACACACACACTTACAAAGCTAGCTAAATATGGACTTTCCATTGACATTTAGTGTTTTACGAATTGTTTAGCTTTAAACTTAGTGACTGAAGACTCAACCTAACTCTAACCTTTAAATACAATTGACTTTTTCATTATTTATTTTTCTGATGTTCTTTTGGGTCAGTTCTTTTCCACCAATAATTATTTTCATGTTATTGCTCATAATTGATTAATGGCTGATATTAAAATGTTATACTATTTTGTCTAAAAAAATAAAAAATAAAAATAAAAATTCTAAAACCTAATATCGGTAATTTTAAATGCCACAAGTTAATTGATCAATTACAATATTACAATATATAGCCAAAAAAAATACAACAACAAAAAAAATTCTTGTAAGATCTGATAAATATAACATTTATCAAAATTAATAAATTATTTTTGAGTGCACAATAGATTATATAAATATAAATATAATATAGGAATATAAAAATAAACATTTATCCATCCATTTACCAAACTGTTTGTCCTACGTAGGTCACAGGGATTTTGCCACTAAAACAAACATAAAAATTAAATAATAGTAAAAATACAGAATAAATAATACATTCAAATAAATATAAAATAATAAATATTCAGTATTGGTCTATCTATCTATCTATCTATCTATCTATCTATCTATCTATCTATCTATCTAAAAAAACATGGTATAGATAAATCATGGAACCCAAATTGTACATGATTTGTCAAATGTTGCAGTTATTTCAATCCAATATGTTGTTCTTGCTTCATATTAAAAGTTTGTTTGTCTATGAAAGTAAAAAAATGAGCTACATTCCACATCCATCAAGAGCTTTGTTGAATCTGACGAGGCTCGTAAGCAGCATTCTGCAGTTATGCAACACTCTCGGGTAGGACCAGTCAAGTTTACCATTTTCTCTTCAGTAATATGAAGAAGAAAGAGGAACAATAGAAACGTTGTGAAATCCTGGAGAAGAGAGAGAGGGGTGGGATAATCTCCTCAGAACACTGAGCACTCTGTGTGGACAAGATGTAACAATTCAAAACGCACACAAAAGGGATTTAATTGAACTTCGTAGAAATCAATAGCTCAGCTTTGGTCCATTTCATTCCACGACAGAAATCAAGACTCTGAGTGAATTTTAACTTGAGGATGCTGGGGAATGGAAAAAAAGAGAGGGAGAGGGGAGAAAAAGAGTATGTGTGGAGAAGAAGGGAGTTGGAGTGACGAAAGGAAAACAACGAAAGTGGCAGTGCTCCCAGGAAACCCCTTTAGTGGCAAATTGAAAACTTGAAAGGCAGCCGATGCACTCTGAATGAATCTCTGTCCATGTCCCTCAGCTCGAGATCATATTTAAAAAGCCAAAGTAAAATGGCTGCCTCCCTTCGCAACTGCAACATGCTAAATCTGCAAAACATCTCTAATGTGGAATTGTTATTTATCCAAAACCAAATCCTAAAATTTAAATTAACATTTACTCTCATGCAGTCACTAATCTAGTTCATCTTATCACACATTTCTGCAATTAATTCAGCTCCAAACGACCTCATTTACTCAGTCTACAGCCTTACATTTATGTATTTTTAGTTTTTACAAACTTTTAATAATCTAAAACGGTTTAATCTCCCATTGATTTAATGCTCGACTGATATCCACTTAAAAGCAGACAATATATAAAATAATACAATAAAACTTTTTAAAAAATGCAACTTAGTATTAATATAAAATGTACACATTTTTTTTTTTTTTGCAAAACAGTGACATATAAAAGCTATATATAAAATAATTACAAGTGAAATTGAGATGATTGTTATTGTAGACCTTCTTCAGAAATCTGGCTCAAATAATCATAAAAAGTGAACCATTATTGGAGAACCTTTCCAAATGATAATTGAAAAAAAACTGGCTATTCCTTTGCTGCTGTGGGCTTATTCCTTCAGGAAATGTACATCTAGGGCTGCACGATAAATCGAAATGGAATCGAGATCGCAATTCGTCAGAAGCTGCGATTGTCATGCGTATCTTTCAGTGAAGCACAGTTCTGTGATCAGCAGTAAACCAAAGGCCAGAGGGAGCTCTCACGCTGAAACTCCAAATACGCCTCGCAGAAGAAACCCAGAAAATCGTTGCAGCTGAATAAACAGGAGATTCAACTGCTTTCATTGATTCAACGTGACTAATAAACACACGACCACGGCAATATATGGTTTATCTGAGTTCTTATTATTATAATTTTCATTAAAATAAAGTATATTTATAATGCAATGCCTTTATCACTGCTTAAATACTATGAAATATGTTGCGTGCCTTATTCTGTGAAAGAAGCCACATCGTCTCACAGAAGGATTTATTTCAAACACTCGACTGACATTATGAAGTGAGTTTGGAGTAAAAATATTTTATTAAATGTGGTATTTTCACATGCTTTCAGATGGAGCAGCATTTACTTCACAGAGCCGTAGTTCACTGAGAAGCTATGCAAACAGCTGTCATTATCGCGGACGATTTATTCGATTTCAGAATTGCGCAATAAAATCGTCTGCGATTTTTTTTTGCGTAACTTGTCAGTGAACTACGGCTATGTGTAGTAAATGCTGCTCCATCTGAAAGCACGTGATGATGATTTCCTGCTGATTACAGAATCAGCTTTTTTAACAAAATGAGCATGACAATCGCATTCGATTAATCGTCCAGCCCTATGCACATCTAGCTCTTATTTTCATTCTGCTCCACCGAAGCGGAATAGTTATCATAATATAGTTACAGACAATTACAGTTATCGAATATAAATCCCACAAGGCCAGCAGAATGTGCACATAATAACAAAAAGTGTCTGTTAGTATGCTAAATTCCAATAATAAAATACAGATTTATCTTTCAAATGAACAGTCTTACTTAAATAGGAGCAGAAAATGATTCAAATATCCAATATGTTTTTAACATTTTGTTTAAGGCTATGTGTCTAATTAGACTCTGTGGTATTTGCAAATCTGAAATATCTGTATCTGAAGCAAACCCAGTAGAGGAGCACTGTTTTAAAGTATTGACTTTAAACCTTTGATTCGAAATGGAAAAAAATAAAAAAATAAACTTTTTATTGTGGTCTCTTTTGATGAGTTTTGAAGCCCTAGATGTGTCTGTGGTCAAAATACATTCATTTAAAACTCACTTATTGGAATTGTTGTGGAGAAGCCTGTCGTCCAGGTCTAACAGGGCATATGCGTGGTGAATCAGACGGCTGTTATAATGGATGGCGTTACTCCTGAGGGTGAGAAGACTCTGGCTGAACTTCATTCCCATCTCCTCCAGCTCCCGCGTCCCTGTCTGCAACCCCTGCGAGGTGAAGACATTCGAGATTGACAGTTGAGATTTATGATTGACAGACTGACTGATTGGGGCTGTCAAACTACATTTACAGACTTGTTTCTTAATTCTGGAGATGTTTTGTAAGTGGAGACATTTGCTCTGTGAATACATGTACAAGAAAATATATGAATGACACTGAATTAAATCACAAAATGTCAGTAAACTACAAGTCAAGCTAAACATTAGACAAGAAGTTTGATTCAAAACAAAACAATTGACAAAAACAAATAAAAAAAGCAAAACAAACCAAAATAAAAACACAAAACAGAAAGAAAACAAATAAACAACGCAAAACAAATAAACAATGCAAAACAAAACAAAACAAAATAAAAACAAAAAACACAGAGCAAACAAAAAAACAGGGCAAAAAAACCCCAAAATAAAAACAAAAAGCAAACAAAAGACAACAAGGCATAACAAAAAACAACAAAACACAAGCAAATAAAAACAAAATGAATCAAAAAGCAAACAAAAACAACAACATCATTACACACACACACACACACACACACACACACACACACACACACACACACACACACACACACAGACAAAATGCAAACAAACAACACAAAACCAAAATAAAAACAGGAATTTTGCAGCCTGTTGTAGCACTTTGGAAATTGTATAAAAGCAGCATTGAGTCAGGTCCCAAAATGAATCTGCATTGACACCACAATGTTATTGCACACTTCCTGCTGTGCACAAACTCTCCTCTCATATAATGCATTGTTCCGGAAACAACCATTAATGGAAATCCAGACACTAACAATATTTTCTGCCACTAGTAAACAAACACAGCGCAGGCATTGAAACGTTCACGCTTTTCTAGGCACACAAAACCCTGCAATAACCCAAAGTCCTGACCCAGTAGTTCAATGAGCTGTGGATTACTGCAGGTTAACAAAATCAATAAATCTGCTGTGTCTCCATGTTTCTTCAGCACTCCACTCACCAGTGAAACCAAAACAAAGAAGCTTGTGGAGCTTTATTCTGCTCATCCACGTCATTGTTCTTGTTTCCATCAAATTCATGTTTCAATCAAACAAACCAAAGCATCCATATGTATTTATTGTATACAATAAATGTCTAGAAATAAACTAAGGACATTTTATAAAATATAACAAGTATCTATGGCTTTGACACAACATTATTTAGTTTTCAGTGAGTAGTCGACATTAAATATTTTTGGGAAGCTGACATGGCCTACTATACTCCATCTAAAACTATTTTAATCTGCATTTTATAATTTATTATAATTATTATGCATGCAGCTTTCATGGTTTCCAAACATTTTGGACAATAAAATTCCATGATTTTGTCATTACTCTTTCCATTCACTCATAATTACAATTTTAATTAAAAATGATTTATAAATAGATTTATATAATTACATTATGATACAAATGTCTCCAATAAGTCATAATTGTAAAATCTAGTAAATAAGCAGTATCTGTCGGTTCCCAGCAGTCACTTCCATGAATTTTCTAGGCCTAGACCATTTTTAAAATGACTTCATATTCCCTTGATGCGTGTTAATTAAAAGATACATAAAGAAACAATTCACTGAAATGTGAAGAGCAGTTGGGAAGATTTTTGGTGAAAAAAAAAAAAAATTATATATACTGTATATATATATATATATATATATATATATATATATATATATATATATATAACAAAAAATATATG